TTATTAACCAAGGTCACCCAATAAATTTAATAATAATTTAAAAAATTTGGATGTTCATATCTGAAGGAACCTGAGAGGGATCACATAACTCAGGCCCTGATCCCTCTCCCCAGAGCACACATACCTATAACTTCTGGGGAAATGAAAGAGTTGATATGACTCTGTTGTAGACATAAAATCAGTCTGAAGCAAACTAAACCTCTAACTTAAGCCCCTTGACTTCTAATCTAGAATTCCTTCTATAACTTTGCACAAATTATTCAATCTTTTTTTGCCTCCATTGTCTGACCAGTGAAATGAGAATACTGAAAGGGCTTTTCTCTTTGGATTAAAAATTTTAATGCAAATCAAATACTTAGAAACCATGCCTGGAAAATTGCAAGCTCTCAATAATGTTAGTCCTATGATTACTACACTATTTTACTATTTTCAACCAAATTTCAGAAGTGAAATATAAATTTATATATATATATATATATATATATATATATATATATATATCACACAAAAGAAAGAATGGAAGGAGTAGCTTGTCTTCAAAAAGGATGAAGTAGTATAGAATGTTTAAAAAGACCTCTTTATCTGGTAGTGCTATTTTCTCTAAGGAAGCAAAGTGAAAGCCTTGTTATCAAGACCAAGTTTAGATAAAATATTGCAGTGGAATCCATGTTCATTTTATCATTTCAGACAATAGGTAGCTTTTTATGAAAAATACATGGTTTGACTGTGGCAAACCAGGCTATGTGGGGCCTAAAGTTCATACAATTTTGAGGGCCTTTCTTTAAAAATAATAGTGAGTATTTAGAATGCAAAAATAAATGATAACTAGTTACTAATTTTCAAATGTTGACAAATACCAATGTTTTACAAAGTGTAGAGAGAAAGACTAAAAATCCTATATATTCTGAATCAAGTTTAGATGTTTGAGAGTTTCCCACAGCAAGTGAAAGCATGATGCAATAAAAATATTCTGATTTAATATAACAACTCAAAATGATATTGAATGCAAACTGTAACTGAAAAATAATTTTTGTAATGGGAGGGTGCTTAGCCTATGCTGAGGCCTTTGCCCCATGTCCCAGTAGAAAGGGTAGGAAGCCTGAAGGAGGTAGAATGGGACCTGCTGAAACTAGGCGGGCTTCCACCAGGGGGGCCTAATGTCCCCAGGCACCAAGGCTGACAGGAGCTAGTTTGAACAGGCCTCTGTGAGGAAGGAGAAATGGAGACCAGTGGGAGAGAGAAGCAGCAGCAAACACAGCCTTTATCAGTGAGCACGGGCAGGAAAAGTTGGGAGAACAGAAGCCAGACACAAAGAGGAAGGACCCAGTAGAGGTCTCAGCAGATCTTTGGGTTCCATGTCCTGCTACTATAATCTTGCTCAAATCCTTTGCTCTCCTTACTTGCTTGACAAAATCCCACTTAATAAATAAATAAATAAATAAATAAATAAATAAATAAATAAATAAAGCCTTTTCTGTAGGGACTAGAGCTAGGAAACTATTTAAAAGGAAACTATTTAAAAGACTATTAAAATAGTCTAGTTAAGATGTAATAAAATTCTAAAGTATAAAGACATTGTTTCAAAGGCGAAATGACTGACCAGGTGATTCACAGGGTCATGTATGCATCTCAACCATCTTATATAATAAATACCTAATATGCAAATTGTCCCCTCCACCAGGAGTTCAACTGGGAATTTGACCAGGGAGCGGGGACGGCCCCTCCCCACAACTACTCTCATTCCTGATTGGCTCCCCCACACCCTGATCGGGGGCGGGGTTGGCCCACCAACCTCTTGTGGCCCCTCCCCCAGGCCAGCTTGGTCCCCCATAGGCATCCCCATACCCTGATCAGGGGTGGGGCCGGCTGGCCAACCTCCCACGTCCCCTCATCCTGGCTGGCCTGATCGACCCTGATCAGGACGGGCCGGCTGGACCCCATCCGTGCACGAATTCGTGCACCAGGCCTCTAGTAATGTAAATAAAAATGCCTCAGAAAGCAATACAACTCATGTCAGTCCTGTTTAGCCTGAGGAGGATTGAGGAATGGTCTTTTTTTTTCCTCCCTCTAGATATATAGAAAAAATTCCAGGAGTGTGGCATTGGGATGAAGATTTTCTTCTCCCTTAAACAGGGCTAGCTTATCTTTGGAATTTTGTCTGCTTTTAGATTCAAGCTAAGTATCAGGAGAACCAAGTAGGATAGAGTTTTATCATAGTGTACAATGTTGAATCAGATAAGCTGGATCAGTAACAGAACCGCAAATGTCCTTTAAAAATATAGCCTGTCTTATATTCACGTCACCTTGTCCCCACTGAAGGTTCTTCACCAGGACCACTTTAAAAGTATGCCTCCCTGTAAATTTCAATACAGTCACATGTGTGCACAGTTGTCTAATTGCAAGGAAAATTAAACACCAGAGACCAGAGCCTTGCAATATACACAAGCCTACACTGTAAGCTAATGGGTTAATAAGACTCTAAAACTGAAGTCAAGGAATACTGTACAGTAGTTATTTCTTAGAGTAGTGTGTGTTTTCTTAGAATTTCATGTGCTCTTTCATAAAAATGAAATAAGAGGATATCAACATAATATTTTCAAGCCACAAATGTTTCCCTTCTTCTACTCCCAATAATTTGTTGGAAGTCATTTAAGTAAAGTTCAGCCTTTAGGTTACTTACTAGAAAAAGATTATTTTTATTGTTTCCATGTTATGGTGGTGAAATTTGAATCCTGTGTCCAACATTCTGCTACACTAATGAGGCCTGTTTTCCAATTTCAAAAGCAATTTTTAGTTCTCATTATTCTTGATTCTACTACATTTGACCTTTTGAAAAACTTCTTTCTCATACTGATCTTTAATATCTCAATGTTCTACCTCCTTTGTGATGGTTCTTTTTCTCGTCTCTATCACTTCCACTTTGTGGATACTTTGCAAAAGTGTTTTTCTCCTCCCTCTGCCCATTGTATCCTTTGATTTTCTTCCAACTCTAATACTGTGGCCTTTCTGCTAAACATTTCCCAGCAGGTGAGGTTATTCTCTATCCCATTTCTGGGTCATTTCATATGTTATTGTTCCTTCCCAAAAGGATATCATCTTATACTAATGTCTACTTATTTTTCAAATTTCAGTACATTGGAGCATCTTTCCTTACGGAGCTGGGTACCTCTCCCGTGTATTATAGGGCATCCTGTGCTTCCTTTTACAATAGCCCTTATGTTATAGCATGTATTATATGCTGCAGTGGGTTTCAGTGCAGGAGGCCCACCAGTGGCATCACTATCATCTGGGAACTTGCTATAAGTGCAAATATCAAGCTGCAAGGTGACTGGACTGAGTTAGAAACCAGGGTGTGGCTTCATTTATGCTGTATTTTCACAACCTCTCCAGGTGATTCGGATCCAGGCCAGCTTTATAAGAACCACTGGGATGTTGCATTTGCCTGTTTTCCCCTTGATTGTTCTACTAGATTGTGGCCTGTTTTAGAAATTATGGTGGCATCATCTTCATTGTGATGTCATTAGTATCCCGTGCAGAGACAACGTTTTTATGAGCTCCAATTTCAGTTCTCTGTTTGCTCTCTATGTAATTTGTATGGAGAGCCAAGAGTCATTTCAAAGTCAACATCTGTGTTGGAAAGTTGACATCTAGTACCCCTCAGCACCCCTCAGCAACGCTATCCTCCAAAACAATTGCACACATCTGGCTCTACTCCCCTTACTGACAAAAACAAACAAACAAACAAACAAACAAAAATTCTCCCGCCTCTCCATTAGTCATGGAGAGGCCTTAGTAATCATCTCTCTTTGAAGAATAACTTCATTTATTCTGAGTATACAGCTAAAACATATCCACTATAGAAAATCTGAAAAAATCAGTTACACACACAAAATAATTAACACCTGCGTGATATTTTTGGCAATAATTAACCTGCTCTCATCCTCCTTTAGTTAACTGAAAGTCCCATCAACGCCTTTTGATTGCCTCCACCATTGCAGTGCCGTCTTTTTTTAACCTACTTCTATCACCTACTGCTGTAGCCTTCTATGCCAAATTAATTTTTCTAAAGTGTAATTCTGAGGAAAGTGCTAGAAAGTCCACATGACCCTCCAGTGCCTTTCAAAGAAGACCACAGTCTGGAGTAGACAGTCAGGGACTCCTACAGGCTCTAGGAGGGACTGCTTCCCAATATCACAGCATGTCCCCTGTTTTCTAACCTTTTGAATCTTGCCACTTCCCTGTCCCAGCATTCCTTCTCACCAGTGATTTTACTTAAATTTCCATTTCAATTTTGCTAAAATTGCAAACTTCTTACCTTCACCACCACTCTACTCCTTATCCCTCTCTCTGCTCTGTTTTTTATTTAGTTCTTATAGCCATTTAACAGACCATCTATTTCATTTGTTCAACTTGATAATTGACTGTAATATAAAGTTCATCAAGACAATGATTTTTGCCTGTATCTTGTTCATTACCATATCCCTAAACTTGAAACAGTGCTGGATACATAAAGACACTCAAAATGTATTTGAAATATTGACTGACACATGAATGAACAAATGAATAAATAATGACTATCTCCTGTGAAAATTCAACAAGTCCTCAAGGAAGTCAGAGCTCTTACTCTTTCTGCTGAAGGTGAACTCTCTGTTCTCTAAAGACTATAAAACCATTATTTGTACTCATGACATGTACAACACACTGAATTGAGTTATAATTATATGTTGCCCTTCCCGTTGAGGAATATACAAATTCCTTAAAGGCAGATATCAATTATCTCTGTATTTCTTGAAGTTCTTAATGCACTGGCAGGTAATAAATAGTTCCAAAAGTAGTTAAATTATTGTCAAAAGAAAATAAAATTATTATCAAAAGCAAAAAGGGAGTTACCTGTGAGGACATTTTACCATTTTTCCTGTTGCTAAAATTGAATGTACCTATACTCTTAAGAATAACTGTTCCCAAAGAAATCACTATGTGAACATTCCACTTCTTTACAGGTTATTAATGCTGCACTTGCTTTGGCTGCAAGACCCAAAAGTCAAGTGGTCAAAAAAACCATGGAAATGTACAAGAGCACATGGGAGAATCATATACATGTCCTCACAGAAGCTGTGGATGACATTACAAGCATTGATGACTTCCTTGCTGTATCTGGTATGTTTTTGATTTTTTAATTTATACATTTGCTCTAGTCAATTTTCTGAACCAGAAAAATACTGTGTCTAATTAATTTTATGCAATATAATGAGACATTCTTATTGCCAAGTGCTGCTACGTATGATCTATTCTTAGTAATAATTCTCATGCCTTGTGATCCTAAAAGAAACTTCTATTCTTGAGCAAAGCATAATTAAAAATAGTAGGTGGAAATCTTAGGCATATCCTGTTTTTTTCAAATAAATCATCCGTTTCTCTTCTTTAAAATATTGGTATGTCTTGATTTCCCTGCATTTCTTTTCCAACCAAAATATTTCTACACTCTGAAAAAAATATATACATATATATATGTATATATTGATGTGATACACAATGTGTACTTCAACTACCAGTGTAATTGTTTAAATAATGGTGATGTAAAGGATCAAATAAACTAGTCTAAACATCTGACTACATCAGGAACAGAGAGGCCTGAGAGTCCAGGCCAAGCCCAGGTGATTCTCATCAGGACGATTCTCACCACAGGCTTGTGGAATTGCTCTCATAAAGCCATATCCTCAGAAGCATAACTCAGGTTTGACTATACAGTGGGGCCTTGACTTACGAGTGTCCCGACTAACGAGTTTTTTGAGATACCAGCTGTCTCTCGGCTGATTTTTTGCATTGAGTTGATAGAGTAATTTGAGTTAACGAGCTCCTTAATGAGCTCGGCCTCGGAACGAATTAAACTCGTAAGTCAAGGCCCCACTGTACTGTTCTAACAGCAAAGAACTAAAGGCTTTTTAGTTTTTTTCTTTCTCATAAAAATTAAGCCTCTCCTTAAATTATGCATTTAGTTGAGAGAGAAAGAGATTTCCTTGAAATGTGATAACATGCTTTTTTATAAAGCAAACTCTTATGAATTTCTAACATCATTTTATCTTTTTAAAGTTTTCCAATGTATTTTGTCGTTACTTTTACCTGTGTATATATATATATATTCATCCTAAACAGTAGTTCCAGAAACCTAGTGTGTTTTCAAGATTCCGTAATGAAAAGAAAATGTGTGCTAATTATTCTAAAATTGGTTTTATTTCTGTAGAGTGAAAAACTTTGCAAATAATAGAAAATATATGGGAGAAAATATTAACGTCCCTTGTTCCCCTATTCAGAAATAACAACCACGTATATCTGATTTATGTCCATCCATCATATGTACATATGTACATATACATATATATAATATAAATTATTTGCCTTTTCACACATAATATTTGGCTGAATTTTCCCATATTAGTATATAACATCAAAAATCATTCAGTTTTTCTCCTTTTGTTAGCACTTAGATAAATTGTAATTTATTATTATGAACATGCTATGTTAAGCATATTTTTGTCTATTTGCAATGTGAATCCATTCAGTGTCTATATTAGGGCAGTCTTTTGCAATTGAGCTGTTCGGTGCTAGGTTCTTTATTTCAGGTAGTTCTTTTGGTTACAATGAAAGGAACCTGCTGATGCTACTTGGTGTAAAGGCACTGTTATTGGTATACTGACAGGGAGACCCTCCTGAACACACAAGAACAGGAACCGTAATTGGCCAGGTCTTGCATAAGTAGAGAGGCCGGGGTCCGGGGTCTACGTTACTCCTTGGGTCCTTGGAGCAGGAACCCATGGTTTTGCTTTTCAGTGCTGGATTCACCTGACCTAGCAACCTTCATAGTGTGCTACTTTCCATAAACACCTGCAGTGTTTCAGAGTATTTTGCCTATATGTAATAGAAAACGCATATGCAAGTTGCTTGAAGAATAAAAAACCTTCCTTTTATGTAACTAGATGTTTTAAGTAGTTGATTCTAGACTTACTAGCCCTAGGATAACAGAAAACTTGGATAGGAATAATGCAGGTATGTGGGGGGAGTATCTTATCATTAACATTATTTAGAATTGTTTGTACAGGGTAGTAATAAGAAATGGATTAATATGTAGTTGTTTCATTATTGTTTTTAAATTCTCTACAGAGATGCACACCATTGTTTTCTATACTGGGGTGGACTGTTTCTACTTTGCTGTTTTTTGGATGCTCTAGTTGGTAGTGGTTTAAGGTTATTAATGACCTATGTAGGCATCTCTGGATTCTATTGAGCTTCCCTCATAGTTGAATGTCAAAGCATTATACCTCAGAGCATTAGACAATTTACCTAAAACAGGAAGAAAAGCGGATTGTTGGCTTGAACCTGTCAAGAAGGAAATCGTTCCCAGATGCCTTCCATAAGACTTTCTCATACTTGTTATTGATTCGTCCTGTACCTTCTCCTGGACCAATCACTAGCAAAAGCAAATGTGATTCCCATGATGGCCTTAGAGTGCTGATACATGGTTAACCCACATGACTGGGGACCAGAGAGAGTGGTATCCTAATTTGTAGCATTTGCTGATTTCTGTGGCATAAATACTCCCACGTTGACAATTATCAAGCTACCAATGTGATGTCATTGAACTCTGAATTGGGAAGAAGTACATAAAAGCAGCTCTTGTGACCTGGTATAAACAGATTCTAGCAGACCACTGGGCTTATACCAGTCATAATTCAACCTTCCTGACTAGTCACTTACTATACAAACAACATCAAAAGTTTTATCTGCAGATAAGAAGGGAAAAATGGCTGTTGACTAAATAACAGAATATGTTTGTCCCAAACACTAAGTGGCATCCATTGCTTTATCAGATTTCTGTGCCTTCATTAACTTACCTTGTAGTTAGCATGAGCTCCAGTGGTGTTTCTTGTTACATCATTACTTTTCAACATCTGTTCCTACAGATAATGGCATCTTCTCTCAAAATCTTCCCAGTCAAATACATAAGAAAGAATATAGCTGGGTCCAAATATCTTTTTAGTTCTAAGGGTAGATCCTTAGGACCAGGCTAGAAGTCCTAAGTCTAAGACCATAGGCCAACCAATGGGTGGGTTACCTTTCTTTCACTTGGCTAATTATAGTTCAAATTTCTGTGATGGGGGCTGCCCCAATCTGGTAGCTTTTGTGAGGTGCAGATTTTCTTAGAAAAAGTTGCAGATGTGATCAGCAGTGAATGACTTTTCTGGTACTACTTTATAATGATTTTTTATCATATGTTGTTTGTATTCACAGACATCTGGTTCTGCAATTTGCCAGGTAGAACAACAAACACGTTAGTTCATAGAGAATCTAAATTGTGAATTACCTAGAAAAATATTATGTTTTCAAATTTTATAAACTTCTATCTTTTTCATGGGCTTTCTTTCAGTAGATAGAAATACTCAATTCTGTTTTTACATATAAGTAAAGCATAAGGATCCCGAAAAGACTTTTATTTCTCCTGAGTCAGTTATAAAAATTTGTGGATTCTCAACACACCAGCTCTCCACATTAAAATATCGACCAAATGACAGCTTAAAATTAGTGAGAAAATATTCTTAAACTTCATTATTTCATTGTCATTAGAAAAGGTAGAGATCACACTGATAAAATGTTTACCTTATAATAATGTTTTATATTGTCCAATATTGACTGTAGGCTCTTGAAATAAGGGTACTTTTGATACCAAATATCTTTTATTTATCTATTTCAATTCCAAATATAGAAATATCATTGATGATTTAAAAATTGTATATTTATATAATCACCAAATTTCTCATGATACACAATCAAAATGCCAATATTCAGAAGGCATTTGGGGATTTTTTGTTCTCTGCTATATGTAGAAAACTCCAAATACAAGTGCAATCAGTTCTTTCTTGAAAATAATAAGGAATATAGACACCTCACCAATTTATTATATATTTTGAAACTTTATATGTAAAATTATAATGAAAGAGTAAATCTATACGTACTCGCAAAAGCCAAGAGATGTTTGGCAAACTGTTCTCTGACATTCAGTTATGCAAGAGGCTTTTTATGGTTTCGTGTTATTTATGTCAGTATCATTCCACCAGTAATTAGAAAAAATTCTTCAAAAGGCATTGGTCCCCAAACTTTGTGTTCCATCACTGATGATGGAGCTTATCCCCACATCATTCACTATGCTTTTTATCACTCTCTGAAAATGCATGTAACAAAACACCTGTCAGAAAATCTCTAGTCTGAAGATTCTTTGACCACATCAGAGTCTGTCTTCTGCACAGACAGAAGATATACCTATGTGATGAGATTTAAGCAGCTCTGTCTTTTCAGCCTGCCCTGCCGCCTGAAGTCTCCACCATTAGTAATGCATTTGTGAATATAAAAACATTTCATACCTCTGTTTAAGACACAAATTTGGAAAAGGTAACATATGGTTCAATCGGCTTTTTGAACCATTGCATTAGTTGACTCATGGTGAGCAATAATCTCAAATAACTGTATTTAGAAGAAGTGAACTTGGATAGAAGAGAATGATTTGGACCATAAGAACTATTGAACCATTGCTAAGAAGTAAGGAAATGTGAGGGTTGGTGAATATTTGCCCTTTTAAAAAACTTTATTCCTTCCTTCATTAATTAAAAGGTGTTGCATAATTGTAAGTGCTGAACACTATGAATGGTATTGGCGATTTAATAATGAGTAAAATTTACTAGAAGAGATAACTTGCAAGAGAGCTGTGAGAATGGGGATTATTGGAGAGAGGGGATCACAGAATGAATGGAGAATACCACTGGCATAGTTTGGAATTTTCTAGAAGAGAGATTGCCCATTTATTGATTAGAATTAGCACTGCTGTTCCCTTATTGTAAAGGTGTTTTCACTTTAAAGATACTATCATATTGATTCTTGGTGAATTATAATATTGGAGGATGCTTGAGGATCTTTTATTCCATGTCCTAAATTTCTCTTTATGTCCACTTTCCTCTATATCCACTGCTATTATTCCAGGTCAATCCATTATCTCTTACTTGAATTGCCATATAATCTTTCTAATTGAACCTCCTGCTTCCAGAATTTTTCTTGAAGGCTTTCAATGGGTAATTTGCAAGATTAATTATGGGGGTTTATGTATTATGCTT